GAGGAAAGATGTATATGTTCGTAAGTACTTGCATAACTGCTTCATGAATCTAGTCCCCTGGCTCTCTTTGTCCAGATGTAAATAAGTGGAAGAAAGATCACATTTACTTTATTTTGGTACTAATAATTAAGTTAATTCAAGTGAAATTTTTTTATCATGTTAACAGTCCCAAGACTGCTGTTTTAAGAATAATTCCCCAGCAGAATATCTGGTGAAATTAATAGCGACATGACAATTATATCTCCGTTTTCTATGGGAGGAAAATTCCAGTGCACCACGTCTTCTCTGAGTGAATTTATATATACAACTCAGCAGCAATATTATCTGCTTATTGTATTTAAGATTAGTAAATGGTGTCGGGTTTTCCAACACTCAACAGCACTGTCGACTATATATATGTTATACTACTATTAAACCTAGGCCAAAATTATGTAGAACATATTAAAATAGTAACAAGTAGCTTCACCGATAGAACGTAATATTTAAAATAGAAAACGGCATACCAGTTATATTAGAAAAAACGAATTAACCCCAAACTCCTTTTTTCTGCATGACTTTAGCTTAGAGCCCTTGACACCTTAGATTATAAAATAAATAGTTATACATTGAAAATAATATACTTTAATTACAAAGTTAATGTGTTAGCTGTGCAAAATTTTATTGTAACCTTAATACTACTTTATGAAATCCAACGTGAACGTATAAGTATTTACTGATTATTTGGGGAAGGAAATGTAATGGCTGTAACTTGTATCTTAGTATGCACTTTTTCTATCGTTCGATAAAGCACTATGTGTATTTGGTTTATAACTAACTGTCCACAATGAGGATGGATTGGAAGACCCTTTTTGCTACATTCTTCGCAGATTTGCCTAACACCCATCCTGTTCACCTCTCGGCGTACGCCGACGATTTAACATTGTATTATTCAGACAATGCTACAGTCTCCGTGGTGTAGTGGTAAGACACTCGCCTGGCGTTCCGCGAGCGCTATGTCATGGGTTCGTATCCTGGCCGGGGAGGATTTACTGGGCGCAATTCCTTAACTGTAGCCTCTGTTTAACGCAACAGTAAAATGTGTACTTGGATGAAAAAACGATTCTTCGCGGCAGGGGATCGTATTCCAGGGACCTGCCCGAAACGCTACGCGTACTAGTGGCTGTACAAGAATGTAACAACTCTTGTATATATCTCAAAAAAAAAAAAAAAAAAAAAAAAAAAAAAATACCCTACCTAATAAAGTCTCATCAATGCAAACAACACTTAACCACCTCATAGAGTGGACACAACAATGGGGCCTTCAAGTTAGTACTACCAAAATCTATTATCAAATTTTCACTAAAAAAAGACTTGCTCATCTACCCACCCTCACAATACACAACACTCCCATCCAACACGAACGAGAACATAAATACCTTGGCATGCACTTAGACTCGCCCTCACTTACCTGGAAAGCACACATTCAACACCTTAAACAGACGACACAACCCCGACTCGCCATACTGAAAGCCCTCACTGGCACCACCTGGGGAGCACACCATAAAATCTTGCTTCGGTTCTATACAACCTACATTCGCACCCAACTAGACTATTGTTGCCAAGCATAGCTGCGCCTACTACCCTACAGAGCCTAGAGGTCATCCAAAACAATGCCATGCGACTTATATGTGGCGCAATTCGTTTCACTCCTATCCTCGGACTTTACGGGGAAACGGGCCTCACAAGCCTAGCCACTTGACGAGACATAATGTGTGCCACCTATCTGTCACTCTGTACCACAGCTCACCAGACACACCCATACAGATCAAAAATTAACCCAACAGTTAACCCACATAACCCCCGCTTCCCAACCAATCACTCGCAACCCTTCCTCACACGGGCTACAAATAACCTCATTATAGACCTCTCTCTACTCCAAAACTCGGAAACCCAACTTACTGTTCCCCCCTATTCCACCTTGGCTTTATACAACTCCTAATACAGAAATACAACTCAAAGACAACATTCCAAAGTCTGCACCAACTCAGCCATAGCCTCAGTCTTTGTCTCAACAATGAAAAATTGCTACCCAAATACCGCAGCGATTTATACAGATGGATTTCGCATCATCATGAACAACGTACCCTTGGTCGCTAGCGCTGTATGGATACCGGAATACCATTTCCAGCAGGGATGGCGGTTACCAAACCAACTATCTGTTTTCACAGCTGAATTATAAAGTTACAGAGGAGGGGGGAGTGACAGAGGAGGGGGGAGGGGTCGAGGATGACCTGCTTCCGAGTAAAGGTCATAGCAGAAGTCTTAACCGGAGAGAACTTGAAGACATGATTGGTAGCCCAGGACGACACGGCAGCAATCGCAAATTGAAACCGCCGTTGGAGGAAAGACGAATCATCGCCTTGACAGCAGAGGGTAAGATCGTCAACATAAAAAGTGGAGAAATGTCAGGAGGGAAGGGAAGGAGAGAAGACCATTGAGGGCAACCAGGAAAAAGAGTAGTGCTCAGAACACTACCTGGGGACACACCTTCTTATTGCCGAGAGGTGCAGAGAGAGAGCGGTACCAAGCTGCACTTGAAAGGAATGACAAGAGAGCAAGCTCTGGAGGAAGAGAGGGACATTACCACAAAGACCAAAAGAACGGAGTTGGGACAGAATATGGTATCGCCCGGAGGCGTCATATGCCTTTTCCACGTCAAAAAGGACAGCAACAACGGAGGTCTTCGCAGTAAAGGCAGTACGAATATAGACCTCTAAGTTCACAAGGACATCAGTCGTGCTGCAACACTTGCGAAAGCCAAATTAAAAAGGAGAGAGGGGGTGATTACGTTCCAAGAACCACCTATCTTGCGGATTTTCTTCCAAATCAGGGGTAGACGAGTGTCAGACCAAACGGTGGAAACAAAAGATCTGCAACCCCTACGTTTAGCCGTACGGATGGCCCTACGGGCCACTGCACTTGCCCCCCTCCCCATATAAAAGAAAAGAAGCGAGCGTCTTACGGCGACAGTGTTTCTTCCAGACTGCACGCTAAAAGCAGAGAGCCTGAGCACAATGCTTTCCACCAGGGAACGCACTTCCGCGCGCCCATGGAGGTAGAGCGAGGAACAGAGCAGAGGGTATTATAAAAAATAGTGTCATGAAAAAGGAGGTGGGCTCGGGGTGGGGGGAGGGAGAGGCAGATCAGAGAGGTCAGAAAGAGTAGCATGCAAGGTGAAGAGGTTCCAGTCAGGCCTAGCAAACTGCCACCTAGGGAAGGAGAGTGGAGAGCGAAAAGAGAAGAAAGTGTCAAGGATAGGGAAATGATCACTGTTATGTAGGTCATCAAAAACCCGTCAGGTGAAGTCCAAATACAGAGAAGACGAGCAGAGAGGAAGATCAAGACAGGAAAGGGTGCAAGTGTGGAAGTCAACATGAGTGGGCTTACCAGAATTCAGAAGAGACAGAGAAGAAGAGAGGACAAAAGATTCAAGAAGGCAACCCTCGTGATTGTCAGAATATCACTCCAGAGCGTATGCCGACAGTTAAAATCACCCAAAAAGAGCAAAGGTTCTGGTATGGAGTCCATCAGGTGTTTAAGATCAGGAAGAGAGTGGGACATTCAGGGGGAGATAAATGGAACAGACAGTATACCATTTACTTACAAAGATACGGGTTGCAGAACACTGAATGGGCGACTGAAAACGTAAGTGGACGAAGGGTCAAGTCGGATCAAGAGAGCAGTAGAGGCATGGACTCCAGCAAGAGCTGGAGAGGAAGAGAGAAAGGAATAACAACGGAAGCGACCAGGACGAGCGCCAAGCATCGGCTCCTAGAGACAAACACAGAGCCGGGAAACTGTGTGATGAGAAGTTGGAATTCAAGGAAGCTGGCATAACAACCACGAATATTCCATTGAAGAACAGACATAGACTAAAAAGAGAGAACAAAAACAGAGATAATAAAGGAGAAACAAAGGTAATGCAGATAACAGTAGACTAAGGGAGAACAAGATCAGGATAAGTGAAATCAGAGTAACGGGGCAGAGGTAAAGGTGAGCTGCTTATATATGCGGGCCAGGCCTAGTGTAGATGGCGCTGATGTTGCAGGTAACTATCACCGGCAGTCTTAAACAAGCAATTGGCTGGTCTACGGCTAGTGGAGTTGGCCCCAGACAGCAGGTGTCCAAGTGTCTCGGGCACTAGAGGGGGGAGGGGGTGGTATCTGTCGAGACACGGAGCTCTCTGAGCACGTATTGTTGTTGTTGTTGTTGATGTTGATTTTTTATATTGGAGCATGCAGATGTGAATAGGAGGTAAAGTGAACAGGCACGACCTTCTTCCTAAGCAGGAAATTACAGTAACACTACCTAAAATGTTCCTGTGCCAAAAAAAGGCTTCTCCTCTTCCAGAAAACTTTGGTTTACACTTCAGACTATGCTGTACATCCGGATTCAGTTAAGAGTATGCCTGGGTGGGAATATCGCATCCTAGGCAGGATATAGGCCATGAGGCTATTGGGGCTCATAACATTCTTATTTAACTTATGTAATAAAAATAACAATTTAAGTATCTCATTTGTCTGATCATATATTACATTTATGTTCTGGCTTTTTCCATAGGTATATATTGCACACGAATACTAATTTTGACACCTTTGTGTTGAAAACTAGGAATATAATTTTGTGTCCAAATGGCATAGACACAGCCTTAATTTCGAAGGACAAACCACACTATAAATATGTTTAATCTCCATGTAATAAAAAATGATGAATTACTAAGGTCTATTCTATGAAGATAGAATAGACTCTGATAGATAGAAGTACACTCTAGTAATTATGGAGTAAGCTTTATGTCCCCAAAGAAATATGTGGGTGAAGCAACATTAAAATTCCTAGTGAACAATTCTGGGGATGTACACAATTACGTTTGTATGCAATAGAGACCTTAACAAAATATAAAATTATCATGTTGTGTATATAGTCAATTGATCAAGTAATAAATATTAACTTACACCCCACAGACAGTTGTGCAGCTGACTGGCACGCCGGTGGAGGGTGGTGGTACAGAGGCTGCAGCCGAGCCTCACCCACCTCACCCCTGGGCACTAGAGACGGGGTCCGTACCATAATGTGTCTGGGCTACTTCTCCCCAGGTGTTGAGGAACGGGTGGGTCTCTCCAAGTTGATTATGATGCTTCGGAGAATCACCAACAAACGCTGATCACATACGAATACCAACGACACATCACTGACCACCACATAATGCTGACCACACTCAACACTGACCATCACATAATGCTGACCACACTCAACACTGACCACCACATAATGCTGACCACACTCAACACTGACCGCCACATAATGCTGACCACACTCAATACTGACCGCCACATAATGCTGACCACACTCAACACTGACCACCACATAATGCTGACCACACTCAACACTGACCACCACATAATGCTGACCACACTCAACACTGACCACCACATAATGCTGACCACACTCAACACTGACCACCACATAATGCTGACCACACTCAACACTGAACACCACAGTATGCTGACCATACTCAACACTGACCACCACATAATGCTGACCACACTCAACACTGACCACCACATAATGCTGACCACACTCAACACTGACCACCACATAATGCTGACCACACTCAACACTGACCACCACATAATGCTGACCACACTCAACACTGACCACCACATAATGCTGACCACACTCAACACTGACCACCACATAATGCTGATCACACTCAACACTGAACACCACAGTATGCTGACCATACTCAACACTGACCACCACATAATGCTGACATCACTCAACATTGACCTCCTCACGACACTGACCACCACACGATACTGACCACCACACGATACTGACCACCACAAAACACTGACCACCACACGATACTGACCACCACAAAACACTGACCATCACACGATACTGACCACCACAAAACACTGACCACCACACGATACTGACCACCTCAAAACACTGACCACCACACGATACTGACCACCACAAAACACTGACCACCACACGATACTGACCACCTCAAAACACTGACCACCACACGATACTGACCACCACAAAACACTGACCACCACACGATACTGACTACATCAAAACACTGACCACCCCAAACTATGACCACTACACAACACTGACCACTACACGATACTGACCACTACACGATACTGACCACCACACGATACTGACCTCCACACAACACTAACCTCTACACAACACTGACCTCCACACAACACTGACCTCCACACAACACTGACCTCCACACAACACTGACCTCCACACAACACTGACCTCTACACAACACTGACCTCCACACAACACTGACCTCCACACAACACTGACCTCCACACAACACTGACCTCCACACAACACTGACCTCCACACAACACTGACCTCCACACAACACTGACCTCCACACAACACTGACCTCTAACAAAACACTGACCTCTACACAACACTGACCTCCACACAACACTGACCTCCACACAACACTGACCTCTACACAACACTGACCTCTACACAACACTGACCTCCACACAACACTGACTTTCACACAACACTGACCTCTACACAACACTGACTTTCACACAACACTGACCTCTACACAACACTGACCTCTACACAACACTGACCTCTACACAACACTGACCTCTACACAACACTGACCTCTACACAACACTAACCTCCAGAAAAATTATATATATGTCGTACCTAGTAGCCAGAACTCACTTCTCAGCCTACTATGCAAGGCCCGATTTGCCTAATAAGCCAAGTTTTCATGAATTAATTGTTTTTCGACTACCTAACCTAACCTAACCTATAAAGATAGGTTAGGTTAGGTTAGGTAGGGTTGGTTAGGTTCGGTCATATATCTACGTTAATTTTAACTCCAATAATAAAAAATTGACCTCATACATAATGAAATGGGTAGCTCCATCTTTTCATAAGAAAAAAATTAGAGAAAATATATTAATTCAGGAAAACTTGGATTATTAGGCAAATCGGGCCTTGCATAGTAGGCTGAGAAGTGCGTTCTGGCTACTAGGTACGACATATATATATATATATATATATATATATTGTGACGGTGTTCCCCCCTTATATTTCTCCCACGCCTGCAGTAAGAGTCATGTCCACTTTACCCGAGCGTTCTCTACGTCGCAGGCATCAATTTGGTATATGTGGGAGAGTGGAGTGTTCTCGGAGTGCCGAGAAATTTATAAAACAATAGAATTCTGGCCTGTGGTTTAGGCCCAGGCACTGACAGGACCAATCTTCGCACGTCCAACCTTCTTGACGTGCGAAGATTGGTCCTGTCAGTTTGACAGTTGTTTCCCGCTCTCGTGGATTTTACGCGTCACCCGAAGTCTGCCAGTACTCTGTGAGGTCTTCCTTCGTTCATGTGTTGAACCAGAGAGGGAATCGACGGATATTGAGCAACAAGTGCTCCAGGACAGGTACTGTGCAAGAAGAAGTGAAGTCTGTGCAGTGACGTACGTGACGTCTGAGGCAGTTCACCCGTTTGTGACGGCGTAGTGGCTGAACAGAGCCACTGGGAAGCAGAGGAAGAAAGAAACTACTCGGGAATCCGAACGACTGCAGCCGAGACGTAGGCGGGCAGCCGTAGCTGGGAGAAGTCGACGGCCGGGAGACCGACTCCAACCCTACAAGAAGTCGAGGAGGAGCACGGACCTGCTGGGAAAAGGCACGGAGACGACGCGCTTACGGTGGGACATTGACTGAGTTCCTGGAGGACACGACAGTGTGTGTGTGGGGGCGTTCCCGACACAAGGCAGCAGCCAGGACCAGGAGCCACAACTCAACTCTCATCGGAGGATAGGTGGAAGTAGGTGATTCTAGTTTCCCTCCCAATTCCCCTTTAGTCAGCTATATTATTCAGTTATATTATTTAGCCTGAGGATTTTGTATGTCGTGAGCAAGGCTCACCTATGTCACAGTAAGGCACCAGTGTGCAGAGTAGTACTATCAAGAGTACTCACGATACATATATATATTTTATTATTGGTGTGTAAAGGCACCCGGAGTAATTGATGAATTTACTGTGTTGAGAATGTCTTGCATGAGACTTTGATGTAATCATATAGTGAGAGAATATATATAATATTATGCCAGTATTTGGAAGTTATGTTATATGCCCAGTAACTATTTTATTACCATGATTGATGTTTGATTTATCTATAATATATATGTCTATGTTCGTGCATTGAATAATCATTCGTGTGTGCAGTGATTAATTGTGTTATCGCCTACGAAAGGAAATACTGAGAACTCCAGTGTTAAATACTTAATAAGTTATCATTGAATGAAGGGCAATGTGTAATACCTTGGCAGTGAATTATTGTCGCATTTAATATAAATATTTAGTTGAGCCCAAGATCAGTGTAGCGAAGTAATACGTGCTATTGTCGCAAATATCGAGTGTTCGAACTTCTAATGATCTTTGAGAACTTAAAGAAACAGAGCGCGTGACGCCAGGGAAACAAGCAATAAACATTCGCGCGGGGGAAGCCGCACAGCTGATTGTGACATTGACGAGAGGGGGAGTGTTGCCGACTTAGTGAGTGCATATTATACGTGGGAACGAACGACTCCCGCCTGGACCAGCTGATTGTTTATTGATATGACCTTGTGATGTCTTTGAATGAGTTTTAAGTAAAATACAAAATACATTTGTGTTTATATCATCCCCTCCATATATCTTGTGGCTATATAATACCTGAAAGCAGAGAGTGATAGAAGTAAATACCTGCCTGATATCCTGATCTATTGGGTGTGTGCCACGGTTACCACAATTCAACTAATCCACTGACGTGTTACTGGACACCGAAAACACCAGTTGGCGACCTTGTGGTTAATAGTAGAGCCCTATTGTTGGGGCGGGCACATAACAGTTAAGTGAACGAGTTGTGTTCCCACTCCTTCTCAATCAAAGGCCGGTTGGGATTGACTGGGATACTCTCCTGGCGTACAGTGGCGCCGCGAGGATAGAGTGAAGACCTGCAGGGCTACGGTGAGTGACCTTGAGTATAACTGTTGCTCACAACACCACCAGAGAGTGGGTCAATCCCCGACATTGGCGACCTTGCCAGGATAAGTACTGATACGGTTGCTCACCGAGTGGCAAACCCCGACAATATATATATATATATATATATATATATATATATATATATATATATATATATATGTCGTACCTAGTAGCCAGAACTCACTTCTCAGCCTACTATGCAAGGCCCGATTTGCCTACTAAGCCTAGTTTTCATGAATTAATGTTTTTTCGACTACCTAACCTACCTAACCTAACCTAACCTAACGTTTTCGGCTACCTAACCTAACCTAACCTATAAAGATAGGTTAGGTAAGGTTAGGTAGGGTTGGTTAGGTTCGGTCATATATCTACGTTAATTTTAACTCCAATAAAAAAAAATTGACCTCATACATAATGAAATGGGTAGCTTTATCATTTCATAAGAAAAAAATTAGAGAAAACATATTAATTTAGTAAAACTTGGCTTATTAGGCAAATCGGGCCATGCATTGTAGGCTGAGAAGTGAGTTCTGGCTATTAGGTACGACATATATATATATATATATATATATATATATATATATATATATATATATATATATATATATATATATGTCATACCTAGTAGCCAGAACGCACTTCTTGGCCTACTATGCAAGGCCCAATTTGCCTAATAGGCCGAGTGATTATCTTTTTTTTCAATATATTGTTTCCAATTAGTTTATTTGAATTATCATTATTATATTATGTTAAGAACATAAATTACTAACTTAGTTGTGTTAGTTTAGGTTAGGTTAAGATAGGTTAGGTTAAGTAGGGTAGGTAAGGTTCGGTCATATATCTACGTTACTTTTAACTCAAATTTAAAAAAATTAACTTATACATAATGAAATGAGTAGCTTTATCATTTCATAAGAAAAAAATTCGAGAAAATATATTGATTCAGGAAAACTTGGCTTATTAGGCAAATCATGCCTTGCATAGTAGGCCGACTACGACGTTTTGGCTACTAGGTACAATATATATATATATATATATATATATATATATATATATATATATATATATATATATATATATATATGTCGTACCTAGTAGCCAGAACTCACTTCTCAGCCTACTATGCAAGGCCCGATTTGCCTAATAAGCCAAGTTTTCATGAATTAATGTTTTTTTCGTCAACCTAACCTACCTAACCTAACCTAACCTAGCTTTTTTTGGCTACCTGACCTAACCTTACCTATATATATAGGTTAGGTTAGGTTAGGTTGGGTTGGTTAGGTTCGGTCATATATCTACGTTAATTTTAACTCCAAAAAAAAATTGACTTAATACATAATGAAATGAGTAGCTTTATCATTTCATAAGAAAAAAATTAGAGAAATTATAAAAATTCATGAAAACTTGGCTTATTAGGCAAATCGGGCTTTGCATAGTACGCCGAGAAATGCATTCTGGCTACTAGGTACGACATATATATATATATATATATATATATATATATATATATATATATATATATATATATATATATATATATATATATATATATATATATATATGCAGAAAATCCACAGAGAAATATGAAATGAGGTGAACGTTTCGGCTCTGTTAAAGCCTTTGTCAACACCAGACTGACACCTGAGTCAGTCTGGTGTTGACAAAGGCTTTAACAGAGCCGAAACGTTCACCTCATTTCATATTTCTCTGTGGATTTTCCGCATAAAATGATCAGTGTTTTGTGATCGTCAATTGCATATATATATATATATATATATATATATATATATATATATATATATATATATATATATATATATATATATATATATATATCACTTCTGGGGTGTGAGTTTTCAGTTGCATATGTCCTGGGGACCATTCAGGCTTGTTCGCATTTGTGTTCCTCACGTGTTGCCCCAAAGAATGAGGTGATTTGGTAAAATGCTATGCCCAAGATAACTATCCGAGTGCCGGCGGTGGGGTGGTTCAAATAGCCTCGGCTATCACCTCATTATGTCCGGTCGTGATGGTCAAGTGGATTAAGGCGTCTTGTACATACCAGATGCGTTGCTTCTGGGAGTATGGGTTCGAGTCACTTCTGGGGTGTGAGTTTTCAGTTGCATATGTCCTGGGGACCATTCAGGCTTGTTCGCATTTGTGTTCCTCACGTGTTGCCCCAAAGAATGAGGTGATTTGGTAAAATGCTATGCCCAAGATAACTATCCGAGTGCCGGCGGTGGGGTGGTTCAAA